ACTAACTAGGGAAGAGAGCCTTTGCCATTCCCTATTATAAGACAACTACTGCTCACAACATAGCGTGTCTCTTTATTACCTATATTTACCCGTGGACTGGCTTACCGGAAACAATCATCTTAGATAGGGGAGGTCAGTTCATCTCAGACTTCTGGGATAAACTGTGTAAGGTCTTGCAGATCCATCTTAAGCTATCATCAGGACATCATCCACAGACTAACAGTCAAACAGAAGTCATAAACCAGTGGATTGCGCAGCAACTATAACCATTTATCAACCATTATCAGGATGACTAGGACTAGTGGTTGTCTATCCTGAATTTCACCACTGCAGCGCTCCCTAGCAAATCTATAGGGGTATCACCCTTCTTTATTAAAAGAGGCTTCAAACCACGCACATCCTTCAACTAGTCAGCAGCTACCACCCCATCAGACCTTAACATTAATCACAAGCAAGCACAACAAATGGCTAAACACATGGAGGAGATTTAGTCATATACTCATGAAGGAATGGAAGCTACTTAATGCTAATAGAAGCAACAGGCTAATAAGCACTACTGTACTGTTAATTTTAACATTAATAATTACATCTTTATTACTACATCAGACTAGAAGGTTGATTATCCTAGTCAGAAGCTCACTAACCAGCTTGCCAGACCATTCTGAATCACTAAATATGAGGGCAACACCTTCTAATTAGATTTACCTAATTCTATAAAAGTCCACCCCATCTTCGCACCTGAGAAGCTTTATAAAGCCCTATCCACACCACCCCTGCTGGGCTAGCTTTAGGACCCAGCTCCCCCGCTTAAGGTTAACAGTGAAGATGAGTGGGAGGTTAATGAAATACTTACATCCCAGCTCTACTATCACAAGCTCTAGTACTAGGTAAGATGGCTCAGTCATGACATTAATCTTTCCTGGTATCCAGCCTGAAACTTTAGAAACTCCCCAACATTGCTCCGAGACTTCCACGCCCAATATCCAGCCATGCCAGGCCCACCGATGCGCCTACCTGAATGGCTGCAAGCAGCTGAAGACGATGTATTCCTTAATGATCACCCAGACGACGATAGACCCCAAATAAGGGCATCCGGAACCTAAAGGGGGGGTAATGTGATGATCTGTCACCATGTTCCCCACTGACGTCCTTACATGGAGCTTTCTGTCCCTCTTAACCGCTTACTGCTTTGGGGTTGTTTGGCTAGTTTGCACCGCTCCGCCCTCTGTTTACAATATCTCCCCACCATGTACATACTTTCCTTCTCTCTCTTCTCTATGCTTAGTTTTCTATCGAAATACTACCATATCATTGGAATATGAGCAGTGTCATCATATCATGCTCTAGATCAAATCCAATATCTAGGAATAGTCATTTCCACTAATAGACATTCTTTGCAGCCTCCGAAATGGCAAGCAATTCTACCTTAGTAGTGGAAGTAGTAACAGTCTGTTGCTTCCCTGCGCGCCAATCCATAACAGCACCAAATAGCTTCACTAGATATCCTTTGCTGCTGCTACAATCCAAATAATCTACATAGGCAGCATCACTAGCAATGATGAAGATATTCCCTGTCAAATCACTTCCATATTCTAATGCGTAGTCCTTTGTTAAAGTGAGATATAGAATGATTCAATTAGCTGCATTAAAATGCGCTGGTCCAGGATTTAATAGATATCTTAATAGATCAGACATTATCTTAGTAATATCTAAGCGAGTGATCACTGCAGCATAGAGAATTAATCTGATTTTGGATTGATAGTGATGTATCTTATGCGCCGTAGCCTTTCCATCATAAGGGCGTAGATGATCTGTTATTACAGGCGTTCGCGCCTTCTGATTAGTGGAATCCAAATGATATCTTACAATAATCTTCTCAATATATGCCTGTTGGCTAAGCCATAGCTTCTATTTCATCTGATCTCTGGTGATCTTAATGTTTAGGAAGCTCTCTCCCTCACCTAAATCACAAAAAAAACAACAACTTCGACGCAGAACAAATTTTTGAAAATTCTCGCCCATTCCACGTTGCTTTGAACTGAAAATTCGCTCAGTTTCTCGCAACGGCGACCGCTATCGATTGATCCTAATTTCATAGGGTCTTGATTGCCATGTCGTTGTCAAAGCCAAAATGGCCGCCCTTGATGGTCGCATCTAGCAACGGGAACGGGCCACGTCAGAATCTGCACAACCACGTCTTGGACCTTTACCACAATATGAGCGTATATCTGAGCCATCTAAAGGCTTATAATCAGGGAGTCCCAAAGCCTATCATTAATCTAATTATAGCCACATAAAACCTCACTGGGGAGCTCATTAAAAGCCCCTTTAGTGAGGACTAGAGGAGAGCAGTCATTAACCTCCACAAGATCACCCTTAACATCAAGAAGATAACCTATTTCATGCAGAATGTCCTAACTACTCAATCTCTTCCACTCTCTAGCAAGATCTGATTATATACGCAGGTAGCAGCAGGGGCACCTCCCCTAGCCCACACAGTCTCCTCCCATGGTTCCTCAAGCCCCGGGGCCACCCCCTCAGAGCTTAGCAAGGACTGTGAGGTGATAGTTAAACTACCTAACATAGGTGCAGTCAAAACCTTCTATTGCCTGCGCGCAGTGGAGATTAAAAACCACACTAAAAAGGCCCGCATAAAGGCCTCCAAAACCACTATAGCTGTGATGCTTGCTGCTGTGCAATTTATTATAGCCTGCCAGCTAAAGTCAGGTAACTTGAGCCTCAGCCTCTGTTCTGCCCAGGAGGCTGAGATTACCCACTGCCATCCCTCCTGGGCCAGCACCCTCCATAAAGGTGCTATAGTCTGCCTGCCCACCTAGGGTGTGGTTATCCATGATGTTCAGGTGAAATCTATTAGCAACCTAAAGGACCCCCAGGAGGCGAAGCACATGGCTGATCAGATCCTAGTGGAAAATATATTTGCATGGGGAGACACCGCACAGATCATTCATCTCACCTAGCTAACCAGTAAGCTAACTAAGAAGTCATCTATATTAGTGATTAAGTTTTCAACCCCCTAAGCTGTGAATAAGGCCATCAATACAGGCACCATCTAGGACTCCTCAATCCTGACTATGGTCCTGTATAACTAGTCTGCTCATATCCACCAGTGCTTCAACTACTAATAATATAGACATATAGGAAGCATCTGTTCTAATAAAACTACCTGTGGCCTCTGCATGGGCAGTTATAAGACCTAGGACTGTCCCCAGCGGGCTGTAACTGCCAGCTAGGAGCCACGCAAGTGCACTAACTACGGGGATGCGCACACTGCCTGGTCTAAAGGGTGTAGGAAGTATGCAGAGGAGGTAGATAAGATGCAGGCAGTGTCCTATTACTACCAGCAGTACCACCATATCCCCCCTACCTACAAGACTTCTGAATGGATTCTAAGAGTAGCAGCTCAGATTCCACTGCTGTATAGAGCGCCACCCTAGTAGAGAGCTCACACCCACAGCAATCAGAGGGATCTGGGGGATTAGAGGGCTCTAGGGGATTAAAAGGTTCTAGGGAATCACACACAGAAAGGAAGGAGATATCTAGGCTATCTAAAGGGCCTAGGAAAGCAAGATTAGAGCCATCTTAACATCCCTTCCATATAGCCTAAAATATTAATAACATTAACTTTGCATCCATAACTAAAGGCCCCACCAGGACCAAATTAAAATCAAAATCAACCACTACTAATGCCTTAGGGAGCTCCCGCCGCAGCACCTGACTTATTAATTAATTTAATGCGCATGTTAACCCACCCAGCTAAACTAATAAGACTAAACACCCTCTAAAAGCACTTTATAATGATTAAACTGCGATAGCCTGTGGAACCCACCTATATATATACCAAGATAACCATGAGGAGGATAACAGCAGTGATAAACTATCAGAGCTATTAGCTATAAGTAACTAGCAACCTAGCTTAGTCCTCCAGGCTAAAGACATGAACTCTAGCTCCTGCACATAGAAGAATAAGCAGAAATAGGGTATGGAGAACCTAGTGTAGATAGAGATAGATCTATAAATTAACTTTATATTATAAAATCAGACCCCCTGGTTCACTAGCAGCCGTTAAAGGAGCATATAGAACAACCTATAATCATCTAATGCATAAGTTATTCTAAATTCTGCAATACAACATGCACTGCTCTAAGAATGTGGTAATAGCTTAGTTCCTGCGTGACCCTAAGGTCCTAGAAGCTAACATCATTACTATATAAGAACCCTGGGATAACCTGTTCCAAGACACCACCTACCACCCTGCTAATGTGACTCACCAGTTGCTATATCTAGAAACAGCTAAGACTGGAGGAGAACGCACCTGTATCTGCCTATATATCTCCCACCAGATTGACCTAATAAAATGGAAACACACAGCCCACTCATAGGACTGCTAAGAGCTTAGACTGCACCATGACACTGGGACACTATGCCTGTTTAATATATATAACCCATGCCTTGACACCACAACTAACATCTGAATAGACACCCTTAATTAGGGTTGTTATTTTTGCGGGTTGGGCCGGGTTCTCCGATCTTTTGAACCCAACCCGCCGGGTTCGGGTTCTAGATTTCTAGGGCCTAAACCCGGCCCATAACCCGGCGGGTTCTAGATAGTCAACCCGGCGGGTTCTATTCTGCCGAAAAATCTACACTCCGCCTACCTAATCTAGTTAGTATGTATTTAATTTTTCTATACATACTAGCATCTATACTAGCATTCAAAATATATATATATAAATAATGCATTCTACATAGAAATCTAACCTAGGTTAGTGTATTCTAATTACTAGGTATTGTAATTAAAACCCGTTTTTAGAACCCAACCCTTAGCGGGTTCTAAGAATTAGAACCCAACCGACCCACGGGCCCTAGAACCTGAACCCAAACCCGGCCCATGGCGGGTTAGGGCCGGGTTGGGTTAGGGTTCCCGGGTTGGGTTTAACCAGTCTACCCTTAATCTCCTAGGACAGGTCCTAGACCAGTAGGATAGCGGCTGCCTACTTCTAGGAGACTTTAACCTACACCATCTAACCTGGGGCGGCAACTGTGTCCACCATACCAACACTAGGTCTGAAAAACTACTAGAACTAACTAATACCTGGCTGCTAGATCTGTGGACAGAACCAGGCACCATCACCTGGGATGAACAGGGCCATTAGTTGACTATTAACCTCACATGGGGGTCTATAGATCTGATGGCCCACCTTATAGCCTGTGAAATGGCCCCTGACATCCACACTGACTCTAACCACCTGCTAATCTGCCTGCTTTTAGATATATTAACACCACCGCCGCAGGCCCTTAAATGCTGTAACTAGAAGGCCATGGATGTGTAGAAACTCTGTAAGTTCATAGCTGCCAACATGGACCTGAATAGATGGTCTAATAATGGACCCTTCACCATACATACACCTGATTAGATTGATAATGCCACAGAATACCTTATTAAGATTATCTAGTAAGCTATTGCCCATTTAACCCCTGGGCCTGCCCTTCTGAATGGGCTAACCCTAACTAGACACCTGAATATAGTATAATGGTTAAACTAACCCACCTCTACCACCAGGTGTATACTAGCATATATACTAAAGATGACTGGATTGCATACACCAAAGTCCATAACTAAAAAGGGAAGATTATCTCTAAATCCCTGCAACGCAGCCACTATAGGTGAGTGCAGCAGATAGTTAATGATGGCCCCTAGGGCATATAGCGCATTACTAAATGGGCCTGGAACCATTAGGGAGGTGGCCAGGCTGGAATTATCCTAATACTCTGTCTGTAAGACCATGTGGCGGAGACAGCTAAATAGAAAGCTAACCTACTCTATAAAACCTTCTTCCCCCTCCACCCACTACCAATCTCTCTAACATAGAGGGCTATATATATAACCAAGCCTAGGATATTACTTTCCCAGACATTAATGAGCACAAAATTACTAAAGCTATCAGATGAGCACCCCCTGATAAGGTGCCTAGACCTGATACTATCCCTAATAAGGTCTGGCATGCCTTAACAGCAGTCCTAGCAGTCATCCAAGCACTTAAAACTCTCTTTAATGCCTGCATCTATATTAGATACAATCCCCAACACTTCCAGGTGTCTACAATAGTGGTTCTGCGCAAGGCAGCACCATAAGACTTCTACCTTCCAAAGTCTTACTACCCTATTGCCCTGCTCAGCACCCTAGGCAAGGTCCTAGAGTTGATAGTTACATTATGCATATCCTGGGCACTAGAGGAACATAGGCTACTTCCAAAAGGCTATCTAGGCGGCTGGAAGGGCGTCTCTGTTGACCATGCCATCTAACTAATCCTAGATGAAGTCTACCAGGCCTGGGGCCATGGCCATAAGGTGAGCATGCTACTCCTAGATATATTAGGTGTATTTAACAATATTTCACATTAATGATTAATCCACAACCTCTAAACCATGTGATTGGGTTGGATTATTAACTAGCTATAATCCTTGCTATTAGACTAATACACCTGGCTACAGCTGCCTAGATTCCTAAGTAAGGTATTTACCATCTTAACTAGAATCCCCAAGGCAGCCCTCTCTTACTAATTCTCTTCCTCATTTTTAATACCCCCCTGATTAAGACGCTCATCTATGTAATTAGTAACACAAGGATAACCTTCTTTAGCTAGATTGATGATTCCTGCGTGTTAGCAACAGGCTAAACTTACACAGAAAATATTATAGTACTAGAGAAATGCCTGGAGAAGGCAGATTACTAGGCTTAATAACACGCGGCTAAATTTGCCCTAGATAAATTTGAACTAATCCACTTTACCAATCCAAAGGAACTAGAACTAGAGCCTGTCTACTCACCATTACTAATAGGCCCTATTAACATCTGGGACCTGTATATATATAAGGGACATGATCTAATGCCCATCCAGCACTAAGCCATAACTATCTAACCTATAGAATTAGCCAGATATCTTGGCATCTGGCTTAATAAAACCCTCTTATTTAACACTCACCGCACCAAAGCAATCAATCATATGAATGGCAGCCTGGAAGCACTGCAAAGCATCACTAGGTTAATCTAGGGTGCCTCACTAACTGCTATGCACGCAATCTATCACAGTGTGGTTATTCTATAACTCCTCTATAGAGTAGCTGCATGGTTCAGCCCTGCTAGTAGGCTAATTCTAGTTACTGACCAGAAAGGGATCATTAATATATTCACTAAGATCCAGAAACATACAGCTATCTTGATTAGTAGTGCCTTCTAGGGAACTACTACTGCTGTATTAAATATAGAACTCCACCTGCTACTAATCCACCTGCAGATGCAATAAACCATTAAGGAAACTGCTATATAAATCTAAATAGGGCCGCAATTTGCATGCCTGTGAGGACTTACAGGGAAGTCATGTCTAACTATAGAAATACTACAAAGCAGGCTTACACCCTTGGAGGCACTTAGGAAGAGAGGAGGCCTGCTAGCACCTACTACCCCCAGACACCTAGAAGAATAGGAATTATGAAAGGCATATATACTCCCCCTATGGGAGCCACCTCTCCATTACATAATTAAAGATTATAAAGCTGCACTAAAGACCCATAATAAAATATACAAGGATAATGACTGACTGGTCATGTATACTAATGGCAGTGTATATCAGGGCTATATAGGGGCCTCTGCTGTCTGCCCATGTGAATAATAGACCTGAAGAAACTATCTGGGCACAGAGATGGACTTAACTATATACATAGCTAAGTTAGATGGAATCCGCATGGCACTTAATGCTACTAAAACCAGAGATATAGGCCCCTATTCACTCACCCTCTTCTCCAACAGCCAAGCTGCTATTTAGGCAGTCCAGAACCCACAACACCCCTCTGGCTAATACATTCTGGATGTAATATATAGAGAGGTAAGGGCCCTGGGGGCGCGTAGGCTAACAGATATACAGATACACTGGATCCCTGCCCATGTGGGCGTGGCAGGGAATGAGGCTGCAGATAAGGCAGCAAAGGAGGCCACTACATAAGGGGAAGTTAAAGTTGAATTAAGCTCAGCAGGGCCAGAACAACTAATTATCCAGCTTTCTGTGGCTGCCAAATGCGCAGTCCGCCAGCGAATCCAGCAGTGCTAGAAGAAACAGTGGGAAACAAAGAAAGGGCTAAGCTGATAGGGCGGCTAATCAAGGCCCCTCACAAGAAGAATTTAGGCCTCTATAAAGGCCTATCAAAGCCGCATACATTAATTATTATCCAGATGCGTACCATGCGTGTTGGCCTGTGACACTTCCTCTTTAAGGTTAAGGCCTCTAAAACAGACTGGTGCAGCTGCAGGGAAGGGTCCTAGACACTGAAATATATCCTCCTGCAATGTTTATTATACTTAGAGGCCCGCAGGAAGATGATTGACAAGCTTTTCAATGGGGGATACTAGGGGAATATATCAGATTATGATGCACTTGTGTCTGACCTGCAGGCGATCTGCTACATCACCAAATTTATGCACCAAACAGGCCTGCTCAGCCAGCTCCGCCATGCTGAAATAACTAAACCAGAGCAGGACCAGGAACTAATAGGCCTTTCTGGCCTCAGAATAGATATGGAAGACGATGGTTAGATGGAACCAGCAGCTGCCTAGAAGGGGCCCTTCTGGGTGCGGCAATGTGGCAGATGGAATGACTACATGGAATGGAGTGGGATAGGTATTTGACGCGCAAGATGGCGCAGGGGAGACATGCAGCATAGTGGCAGGCTGCTTTGGTTGTGATTTCTGCTTTTGATGTGGCTATACGCTAATTTCTTATGTCTTGTCTGCATATGTGGGTTACGGCGTTCGGGTACTAGATTCCTGCTTCATTTGGCGAAGCGCCTGCATAGCTAGTCGCTTCTATAGACGGGCTCCAACAGGTTAATAGAATCTTGATTGATTGATTGATTGACCTAAATCACAAAATTCATATCATTCTTGTAATTTCTAAATCAGATTATCAGCATGCTTCTTGCTTTCATGGCAGTAAAGAAATAGTATATCATCCACAAACACCAAGACGACAGTCTTATCATCTATATAAAGGCATGAGTCTGTATCTATTCTCCGCAAACCTATCTCTTCAAGCGCTTTCGAAATATCTCTCTGCCAGAGGCGCGGTGCCCTGCGTAGGCCGTAGAGAGCTCGCTTTAATAGGTAAACATAGCCATATTTGGAGAATCCTTCAGCCATTCTAGTGTAGACCTCCTCATCTAGCTTGCTATTGACGAAGGCGTTGACAGCATTGATTTGTTGTATATCAAGATCAAACACTGCCACTATAGCTATTAACGTCCGAAATATTCATGTAGCAAGAGTAGTGGCTGCAGTATCATCATGTGTCATCTGCTGCATGTCTCCTCATATGCAGATTCGTGCCTTGGCCTTGATTAAGTAGCCTTCTTGATCAAATTTGTATGTGAAAACCCATCGTAGTGGAATGATCTGCTTGTCTCTGGGCGTTCTGACCTTCTGAAAAGTCCCTCGAGCTAATAATGTATTGTGTTCCAACTGTGTGGCTGCTTTAAAGAGTTCCTTTAATGGGTGCTTCTGTATCTCCTTCCAGCCGTCAGGTGCAGGTGGTATTTCATCTCGATGAAGCTGCTTCTTCAATGCCTTAGTGTTCAGGCCTATTCTAAATGATGTAAATACTGAGTGGAATTGCTTCAGGCCATCTATCCAAACGCCAGCATATGCATGTCGTGGAGCTCGACATTCCTATTTTCCTTTAATGATGTTGTCCAGTGAAAAATTAGCACTTACACTATGTTTTGGCTTCCATGGGATATCATCGACGTCGTCTAGCTCATCTCAATTATTTGGTTCGATAGTCAATCAATTGACTTCCTCAAATAGCTGTTTTGAAGGTGAATCTTCTGCTTGCAATTAATCTGGGGACTCAGGCAGTGTATCCATAAGTCTTATAGGTATCTCAGGCTCTGGTGAATCATCGATTCTCGTAGGGGATCTTGGGGTTATCAAATCCAATTAAATTAGCTGCTCTCTCTGCTGGCTATCTCTCCGCAGGCTATCAATCTAGTCTCCAGGGATTCCAGCCTCTTGCAGGCTTGCTTCCAAATCATTATTTTACTCAATAGATTTGATAGGTACGTCATGTTGGATAGATCTTCCTGGCGTAGACTGGTCGTGGGTTGG